CGAAAACCACAGAGGCGTCTTGTTCAGCGTGCTGTCAAACCTACACTAGCAAGGAGATCGGGCTGAAACTATAGCTACAAGCTATCCAAGGATGGTACTATAGAATGGCACCTCAAGGTAGGCCTAGTGGCGTCATCTCTTGGTTAGGCCGGAAACTTATCAATCCACCCTCGTATAACAAATGTAAACAAAAGAAAATAATACACAATTAACATTATCTGCAAGTAAATTTTAAATAAACAGTTTTACATTCTATTAGTCTTTTATTCCTCATTATTTATTGTGCTATACCTATTAGTGATAGTTTTTTGACTATTTATTATTTATATATGAATAATTTAGACTGTGATGAAATCTAGTAAGTGCAAATTATAATTATAACTTTATTCATAACAAACTAGCAAGTTACATCAATTTTAAACTCGAAAATACCTCACACCCATGAGCGAAACGTTGGATGTCGTTTTTTTAATAAAATATCTTCTTACAACCCTTAATTGCTCTGATTATTTATAAAAATACTTAACTTCGATGGCAACAGCCCCAATGCAAAAATAAAATAGTTAAGGTTAGTATGCTTCTGTTTTTCATGCCGTTCCCGTTTTTATTTTTGAAGACACCGAATATTATTCTACTTTTATAATTTGATGAAATAAATTTGTACTTGCTCGTCTATTTATTAAAAATTGTAAATGTTTAAAATGAAGTGTTTGATAAGTTTAGAAACAAATGTAACACATTAATAAAAGCGAAGATTATTTTTTTTACTTTTTACTGTTTTTCTATTTGCAAATGAAGACATTGCACATTGATCTTTCGTCCACAAAAACTTAAATTTACTCAGTAAATGAATATATTATAAGACATTGAACACTAAACCGAATTAGGCTTACTTACAGGACATTACAGCTGCAAGCACATATGCTCGGTTCTTGAGTCCTTTCAACATCGTTAGCTGCTTATTTTCTGTTTAAGGTCTCAAAGGCAACTAGTCAAATTGAATTAGATAAACCAACTTAAATCTTTTTCTATCAATTTAACAAGCCGTTGAAGTATTGCACTTGTTATTAACATTCGATTTGTGGAATATTTAGATACCGTATCAGAAAAATCTAAAATAAAAA